ATTTTGATATATTTTAAAGCACTTAATTTCATATTTGAAATGCTTTGTAATATAGATCTGAAACTTTGGAAGTTTAAATCCGTTGCCACATCACAATTTTTTAAAAAATTAAGTTTATTTGAAGTTTTAACTCCTTTTCAAATGAGAATTAAATACTTGAAGTAGCGCCTATTAATCATTGTGATTTCTACTTCTGGATAAGTGCTACGAATCAATTCTAATACGGCATTCATACTGTTGACCTTATCGACAAATATTTCCGGAACGATAATCTGAAAAAGTTATGACTGTCTAATTGAATATAATGAATAGAAGATAGGATAATGTAAAACATTAGATAAGCATTTTAACTTCTACATGTTTACTTTCTCGTCAAATTATAACCTGAACCAACATTCATCCTAACGCCATGTGATGAAGAATGGAAAGTTCATGTTATCTTGAAAGTAATGATTTATTGAATAAACGAGAATAATTGTACGCAAAACCTCAACAGGTTCTTGAATTTGGAATTGAATTCGAAGTCGCGCATAAGATGCAGAATCGATAAATTGCGATAAATGCAATTCACTGCATAATGCATCAATGCTTGCAAGTCCAATTTCACCACGTGCACTGCCGCGACCTTCCACAATTGCTGAAAACACATATGAATACGATATGTTTCAATGTAATGATAATTGACATAATTTGTTTATATAATATTATTCGATTTTTATTATTCTTTTTATTATAAGTAGTCAAACTTAATACAATGATTGTACAAATTATTTTGAGTGATTTCATTGGAGCTATGACAATTATATATACTATGTGTAATTATATTATTCGTATGATCGTTTCCTACTTGCAAATGAGTTTCTCTCTAAAGACATATCTAGTAGATATGTCTTTAGAGAGAAACTTATTTGTATAATGCAATGTAGTCAACATGAAATACGTCTGGAAAAAGATAATTCGAATAGTTTTCAATAATTAGTATAATGAGTTTAAGAAAAGTAGATCACATGCATATGATTCATGAATATACATATGATTTATGTATACATAAATGTTTCCTTTATGAATAAAAAATGGATTAAGCTATTTAAAAAATATAATCAAATCAAAGCTTTTCTTTCTTGCTAAACGTGTTATGCAAAACTTATGCTTCCATTCAAATCTTAGACAAATGTCTTTAGATTAAAAATGAAGCAATAAATAACAGCTAAATGAACTTACAAAAAATAATGCAACTTGTAAGGGACAACTTCGTTCCATTTCCGGAAAATCGAGAACGTTCACGGGTAGACGCAAAGCTGCGATACTTCGGTGCACTGGATAATGATATATCACGTTGCATGTAGCACTGTTTTCTAAAATATAAGTAAATGTAACAAGCGTAATCCTTTGACATGCGTAAAAAGTACAAAAATAAAGTGCCAAATAATATCAAAATTAAAACTACAAGAATACATAATTTACCGATATATAATAAACAGGTATTTAAGTCATCAAAAGAAAACTATGCAATGAATAATGATAAATAGTCACTCTCTACAATATTCAAAATAATTGTCAGATAAAAAGCTGAATGCTTGATAAGGATAGAAATGATAAACAATCTTAACATAAGTGTAAATACATGTTGTCAAAAATCCCTATTTATATATTGTTAAAAGACAAAAAGTGATAGCATATATACGTATGAAAGAAAAGTAGAAGAAATCATGCCGCTGATATGTACTTTAAAACACTGATGTTTTTTTCCTATTTTTATGTTTTAAACATTTAATTACAACTTAGCTGTATTTCTTATACAGCTAACCTTGTGATATTACTTTATTAATCAATCTGTGAATTCCCTGTTTATCACTCATTTCTTATTTTTCGTTTTGCAGACCATAATGATGATCACGATGATCATGATAAACTATTAGTTACGACATGTTATCTTAATTTTTTTCTTCCTATCTTAGCAACTGAAATCAATACATTTCACTCTTTCAACGACTACTTTATATATGAGGTATATGAGGTCGAAATTTCATTTTCTTGATAAAAGTTTTTTTCTCAGAAATTTGCATATTCTACTAAATTCCTTTTTGTTATCCTCTAATGTAACTGAAATATTTCAGCACTCTTATCAGCAATATAATTTACTCATAGCGAAATTTGGAATGATTAAAATAACTTTCTAGAGATAGTATTGAAGAGTTAATTAAATTTTCTTATCCTTAAATTTTCTTATCCTTAAATTAATTAGAATTAATTGTTTTCTTTTGTTGTATAAATGTTTAATGCATGTTCAAGTCTTTTTCTCTTTTTGCAATGGATATATATATGCTCAATTGTCCTATTAAAAGCGCAATTGTGAAACAAGAGGAAATCAATATATATTAAAATACTTGTTTATTACATAAATGGATGAATGATAGCATTAATTACTCTAATCATTGGCGCTGTTTGTGATATTATGCAAATTACTTTTAGTTTTAATAATTCCTTTTTGCAACGATTAAAAGTTATATCAATAAAAAAATGCTTACATTATATTTCGTCTGGTATATTAGAAACTATTGAAAAATTAACAAAATATAGGAAGAAACAAAAAAGATATGGGAATAATAATTAAGAATTAATTCTATTCTAATTGGATAAGAAATTGAAATTCATATCTTGAAAGATTAAAAGAAATTAATAAAAGAACCAAAAATCTTTATTACTTTATTATTAAATAGCTGTTAAATAGCACAATAGCACTTAGTAACGATAGAGTTATGGCCCATATAAATTATTATATTCAAATTTCTTATTCAAATTTTTACTGTTACTTTTGGTATGCTACCATCTTGTACTATTATGAAATGACGCTTTTCCTTACTTTAATAAATAGTAATATTTAAATAATATCAAGAAACTTATATATATATATATATATAAATATATGGGATCTGCTTACATTAATTGATAATAATATTTAAATATAATCAAATAATATTAGGAAATTAGGATCATTCAGTGTATAAATTCATTTAGTGCAATAATTGATAAAAGCTTTTTAAAGTAGCAGGTTGTCAATAATGTAGCAAAATTTGGCAATAGTATCATTAATAGTATTTATGCCCTTATTGATCAATTGTTCTGGAAACAGTTTGATAAGCTTTATTAATATAAGTAACCATTGGATTAATATTTGATATTTATCATTGATAAAATTATTATCAACAAAATATTTTTACAACTTCAGTAAAACATTTCCTTGTTTCGTTTAATATTTATGTAAGCATTTATTGTTCGTTTATTTATCTTTTTTATATGAAGAATTTATGGGAACAACAACATAGTATACTATCAATTATCATTAGCATTGAATTTCGTTGATAACTTTAGACATTTCTATAGGAATATAAATCAATATTTTTACAAGTATCCATCGATTACAAGTATTCATGAAAATATTTTACAAGTATCGAATATTTTACAAGTGTCCATCGAAAATATTTTACAAGTATCCATCGATTTTACATTCATATCTTTCCAATTCAGACTTTCTTTCATATATGAAAAATATATAATCTATTTCCTGATCGCTATCTTTCAATATTCCCTTTTTAAAATTTCGTTTATAATATCAAAAGAAATTAAAACAGAAATTTGATAAGAATAGTAAAAACATTTATTCTATTACATAAGAATTGTTTATATTGAAATGTTCCCTTTTAAATATATATTGAAAGATAGCGATCGGAAGATTGAGTAAAAGAGTGGTAAATGTATCCCATATAATCCAATCAGAATTACAATAAAATTTTATAAAGCTAAAAAAAAAGATTTAAGAGTTTCGTAGAAAGAAAATATTTACTTTTCCTGCTTATTTATATTTTATACTTTCATTGATTTACATGAAATAACGAACGTACGTTAAAACTTAATCACCTATTCTTTATCGTATCCAACAAATTCCTAAAAACACTGTAAAAGAATTCGAGATTTTAGAAATCCTAAATTGTTGAACATTGAAAGATAAACGTCACATAACAATACATTAGAAATGTGTTTTTGTTAGTGCTTACTAATTGTTCGTGAATAAAGAAGAAAGTGTCTAAATAATTGACCTATTCGCATACTCATTTCTCGTCCTTCTTATCTTGATTAGTACCTTATCTCGATATATTTCATTATCATATCACTATCTTCATGAAATGCTCAATGTGTTTAATAAATTAATTTATATCTTTTAAATAATGAAGTAATTTTTTAAATAGTTTGCATCCGCAATATTAAAAGCTCTTGATGCTTCTTACATAGAATTCCGGATTATTACCAGTGTAGTTCAATCCACTGTAGTTCAACAATAATAATGTTCTCTTTTTTGAGTAATCATACAAGTTTTTCAGATAATATTGACGAATTATACAATATAATATGATTAAGTAGTTCCCTATTGATACAGGCAATTCACGTTAACTAATAAATAAAGCACCTCATTATAAACCCTAACGCACCTTGCAAAGTTCCACTTGGTACCATTACAAACCAATGCGAAAGTCTCAAAATTTATTGAGGTAACCAAGTAAAAGCAATAATGCATAAGCTTCGATGATCACAGTTTTGTTGAATTACACAAATTGCACAAAGGAAAAAAAACTTTTTGAAGTATCACATGCATAAATGAAGCAACAGATCAACTACGAATGTATGGAGAAGAAAGAGTGCCAAAATCACATTAATTTCGAATGTACGAATTTATTTTGAATATACGTAAAAGAAAGTATAAAATATGCCCTTATTTTGCTTTGCATGAAAACGAAATGGCTTTAAACATAACCAAACAGTACAGCTGAGAAAGCTTTTTCAATTCCAATTTTCTTCGAATTTATACCTTGCCTTTCGAATAAACTAGGAACAAAGTGAGAATTCAAAAAATCATCCCCGTATTAGATTCACATTTTAAACTAATTGGCGGCATTACGTAAAGCAATTGGAATAACTTGAATGAACTGCAAATATTCTAGCGATTAATAACGGGGTTGCATTTGAGGCCACTGCTGTTGCTGTATTATGTAGGGACCTTGCTGTGTCATCATTTCTTGACTTGGCTGCATTATTATTCCACCTGAAAAGCGTATTTTGAAAATGAAATTTAGAAAAAACCCTGAAAGTAGGATCAGATGATAGTAATTTGTCTCCAGGACAATTAAGATGTAATAAATTTTAAACATCTTTTGAATTCCAAATGAATCGGTCCAACTTCATAACTCATATCAGAGCAATTTATTTCTCAAGAGAGTTATTAATAAAAGAAATTTCCTTTATTAAAATTTATTTTAAATCAAGTTAACTATATCGAATCTTATCAGTAAACTGTAATGGATTGATCCAAAGCACGATTTTTTTTAGAAAAGTTACTAGATAATGCCAAAAAAAGAAGCTACTGACCGCCCTGTATTACTCGTCCGTTTTGGTCCACATATGACATTTGCGGACGCATCTGTTGCATGATCGTGGGTCCTTGAGGACCCATCTGTCCCTGAGGTGGCCCCATTTGATTTTGAGGACCACCCATAGGTGTTTGTCCTGTTATACCTCCCTGCTGTCCTAACATACCATTTCCATTACCCATGATTTGCTGACCACTCATCATACCTTCAACAACAAGAGTCAATTACTAAGAATGACAAACAACACATTGGTTCAATATCTGATGTATCTCCTTTTTGCTTTAAACACTTTTGAAATCGTTTTTCGATTATTGTATTATGAAAATCAATCAAAGTAGAGTAGAGTACAGTTGGAGATATATGTTCAACAAAGCATGAATCAGAAATATATTTCAGAAAAAAAAGGAATTTCTCCGAAATATGCTTCAATATTTAAAAATCAAACCTTGTTGTACCATCTGTTGTTGATAAGAAGATTGCATAACTGATGACTGCGCAGACATTTGCACTGGTCGTTGAGCCATTTGCCCTTGCGGTGGACCACCTAGCTGTTGATTCATACCTATCTGCTGCTGCTGTAAAAGCATTTTGGAAATTACTATACAAAGACTGCTACTTGCATGAGCCGCTTAGAAAAAAAATCTGACTAGGCTGCACTCAAGATTACAACAAAGATCTTAACGTCATGTTAATGATGCAAGACATTATGAGTGCAAAACTTCAACTACAGAGTTCAAATTATAATTTATATGCAAACTGAAAGCGCACTGTAGATAACGTATGTCTTATTAACGATAACGAAAACTTAATTTAAATCAGAAAACTTCAAATAAGAAATTTGCATTTAAAAAGGTCATCCCCAAAAGCTCCTGCCCAATTGGATGCATTTTATATCTGACTAGGAAAGAAAAGACAAGAAAATCCACCTGGTATATGTTTGGACCTTGGTTCATAACTTGATGCTGTTGCTGATGCCCGTACGATAACTGCTGCATGCCGCTGTTCATATGCTGTGATTGCATTATCTGTTGTTGACTGTGTTGCTCAAAGGACATTCCTCCTTTATTGCTCATAGCTGGTCCCGAGCCAACCGGTGGGTAATCTTGCGCACCACTTGTAGCAAACATTCCATTTGTAGGGGCATTCATCATTGGCTCCATCTGAAAATGCTTATTTTTTCAAATATATTTTTATTCCCCATTCCAATTCACAATTTCTGAAAGATAACAGATGAAAATTCGATCTTAATTCGTAAATTAAAATAACAAGAACTAAAAACCTGTTGCGTAGCTGGCATTTGTGCTCCTTGTTGCATGCGCATTTTCTTTGCTGCGGGTTCCATCACTGATTGCTGAGGATGCATGCCAATAGGCTGCAAAATGACACCAAATATCTAAATGTTTGCAAAGCAATAAGGGAAGCCACTAAAAAGATACAAATTGCGGTTCTACATTCCTTCCCATTTTCCCTCACTTTAACTTTAAATTTTCTAAAAACTTTCCGCCTCTCACAAGCAAATTTGTGCCATTTGAAACTTTTGACAAGATAGTAACTCAATGATTCACGGCTCAAATGGTATATATCTCTCAATAATAGATGTTGATGAATGAAGATATGACTTACATAGATCCATTTTTAGTTGGAGCCTTCATATTAAATCTTTAATAACTTCAGCTCTTTACGCAAATAAATACGTAAACATACTAAGTTTACAAAATAAGATTTGGCATTTCAAATTACGCGTATATTATGCGCATCACTCTGCATTCATGGTGAGATTCGATATTCAAAGGTATTTTTCAAACTACTGTTGATGACATTGATAATCGATGTTAAAGCGATAAAAATATTATTATCCATCCAACAGATTTTCCATCCAACTGCTTAAACAAAAAGTAAACTAAAAAAACAGAACACAGGTACTGACCTGCTGTTGACTTTGTTGCGGAGGCTGAACTTGCTGTGGTTTCGATGCCGAGGCACTCTTATCATCATTTTCATCAGAAAGGAACTCCCGCTTTGGATATGGGATATCGCAACCACTGAAAACATCTGCAGTTGGACGAGGATCTTCCTAAAAAGACATATAGCATACGCTGCATACATCCGATTTAAAATGCAGTTAGACGTTTCAAAGACGATTTAAAAATAAAATGCAATTGTAAACTAAAATTAGAGTAATTTTATTTTGGCTTTATGCAATTTTGATTCTAATTTTTTACTGCTACATTTAAAATCGTAAGAAAAATGAAATTAAGAACAGCTACCTTAAAGTAAGGATCATCCATGGCATCTTGAGCAGTAACTCGCTTGATTGGGTCCATTGTTAGAAGTCGTTGCAATAAAGAAAATGACCGAGTATCAGCTTTGATTTTATGTTTATCCATATATCTTTGCAACGTGCAATTGGCGTAACTGAAATTCACAAAATTTAAATTATTCAGTTGAAATTATCTCAATAACGTGGAAGAATATGTTCGAAAATAATTTCAAATATTTCCTCACTTCGCTCTTTTGAAATCCTGTGTCAATTTCTGATATTCAGGCATTTTTTTCAAATCCTGCCAGTCGGATTCAGATGGATAACCCATAACGGTAAATATTCGATTTAGCTGATCCTGATGGTAAGGACTGGAAGCTTTAATATCTTCCTCTCGACAAAAAAATACAGGTTCAGAGGTAAGAAGTTCCGCAAAGATACAACCGATAGCCCAAATGTCAATGGCCTATAAATAATTTGATTCATATCATCTTCATATATAAAACAATATTCATTTTAGCATTTCTAAATAGGCTTAAAGAAATCTTGATAGACAACAAAAGTACAAAAGGCTTCAATTTAAAAAAAATGGGAAAACTCTCATTCTGAACAAAGCTCAAAAATGTACAACTTATGCGTCCAATGATTTCATGGTTTTTGTAACGAGAAAAGTAAATATACTTTTGTGTAATGTTTAGCACCAAGCAGCAGTTCCGGTGCTCTGTACCAGAATGTCACTACCACTGGATCAAGCTCGGCTAATGGTTTCAACGGGTTATGAAATATTCTTGCGAAACCCATATCACCAATTTTCACTCTGAAAGTTATTCTAAGTTTAGATCTCGAAAAAGAAAATATATAACACTTAAATATTTACGAAAGATTCTTCCAATATTGTAGATGCAAGACATGTACCTCCCACGTTCCACACCAGGACCCTCGCCCATTACTAAGATATTCGCAGGTTTGAGATCTCTGTGTAAAATCCAATTTGAATGTAAATAATGAATTCCGTCCAATATTTGATACAGGAGACTTTTTACCATTCCCTGAAAAGATTCAAATTATTAGTAAAAAGAAGTAAGCGATCTAAAATAACAATGTTAAGCTTTTGGGATTAGTCAGAGTTAATAACCAGTTCATGTAAGTAAATACAACTGAAAAGATACATATCAAATTTGTCAAGTACGCTTTAATAGTTTACTTTAGGGACAAGCACTGGTTGCTTCTTCTGCTTTGCAGCTCGATGGAACTTGATGATATGCCACAAGTCGTGTTCCGCATAATCGAACAGCAGCCATACTTTTCGATCGGTCGTCAGAAATACTCGTTGCAACTTGATCAAATTTGGATGTCTGAATAATGATCATAATGCAAAACGCAGTGATTACCTAAAGTAGGAAAAAGTAGTTCAATATTTAAAACCAACTTTAATTCCCTCAACAATGCTATTTCTCGACAAGCCGACATCGAAAAACCTTGGCCTTCAATTAGCTTTAAAGCGAACTCCTTGGCTCCATTTTCTGGAATCTGTTCCGGATGCCTTGGCTGCGCTTTGTAAACATGTCCGTAAGTCCCTCTTCCTACCTATGAGTTGATTTCAATGAGTTGATCTTACAAATTTTCTAACAAAAGCAGATTTTGCTCATGAAAAACACTTATAAATTGATCTCCTCTCAGTTCTACAATCGGTAATTTACTTATCCACTGATTAAATGCAGTAAATTAGCAAAATACCTTAAAGCCTTCAAAAGAATAAAGGTCTTCGACACGTTCCCGTGTTTTTATAAGCTCTTCCTTGAATTGATAATCTATCATAGTAGCTTTCACGTTTTCACATTTCACAAGACCATGGTACTTTAACAATGCCAGAAAGGCAAAATCCTATTAAAAACCAGGAAAGTGATTGGAACTACAATCCCTGGAATATTCAATTTAATTTTCACACCACAATCAACAAAACAAATTCTGTGCAAAATTATATTTATGTATATACCTGATTAGACGAAAAAGCATCCCTACCCAATCATATCAGATGATGCTATTTCTTCTGCTATTTACATCACTGCATAATTTAATAAAAACGTTTTACATCACTGCATAATTTAATAAAACTTTCCTGATTCAAACATATATATTTATATATGCTGTATATATACTACTACATATATTTATATACACTTAAATCAAAGCAAAAGTACCCATCACAGATCATTAAACTGTGATAGTCTCCACACTGATACTCCGTAATGTTCCTTTTTACTAAATGTTCCCCTAAGCAATCATTAAGAACATAATCTTTGAAATTCCAATTATTAAAATATACTTTAAAAGAAAGTGGCCTAACCGAACTTGGCACATAACCTTTAATTTCTTAATTCATTTTAAATTTCCGCCAAGAACTATGTAAAATTCGACTGTAACCTAGGACAAAACAAACATTTATAACTTAATGCAAAAGAGCTTTAATAAAGGAACTTGAAGGAAGTAGTAACATAGAATTTCGTTCCAATTCTTTGAAGGCAAGAAAAGGATAATTAAGAGCATTATTTTATCGAATCTAATGATAGAAATATAAAACAAGCAAATTTCATTATTTTTTGGGAATCTTGTACAACGGCTCCAGTTCTGCATCAGCTTCTTCCTCTTCTGGTGCGGTTGTCTTCTCTTGAAAAATTGTTACTGGCTGATTTTTGAGGTATGCTTTCGTGACGTAGTATGGATTTTGCTCTGCCTATAAGTAAAATACACCCATTAACAAGAGATAGTGAGACTAAAAGAGCGAAATTCTTGAAGGATAAACAACAAACCTCTTCAGCGTGACGTAATATAGAAGCACGCACGTCGGTATCGGCAAGGAAATCACGGTTCCTTTTTGTACCTACTTGTTTAGCGATGTAAGAATGCAATGTTCCACCTGAAGCAGCTACCCGACCACCCGAACCTAAAAATAAAACCTATGTGGAATGAAACTTCTCAATCACATTAACATAACTTAGAGATTAAAAAGAATTAGTTTATATAAAACAAATTGGAGAAATGAAATAGCCTCATCGAATCAAAATCATCTGACTAACTTGGTCCACTCATTGGCATATCAGCAGGCTTTCGGAAATCGGGGCGTAATTTGTTGTCCATCATGCGCAAATATTTCTTCAGTCGCCAAGTTGTAACTTCTTTCTCCTCAGCTTCTTCACCTCTCGGTTGGAACATTTCCAAGGTTAGTGCTGAAAATTGCAATGAACCAGCTTATTAATCTGCAATGCTTGGTCATTTTGAATGCAATACCTTCATAAAATGAGGAAACTTACGTGAAAGCACTAATTCTTCGCGAATTACTTCCTGCTGACGAGTCCTTCTCAGTGGTCGTGAAACACAAAGCAAGGCACCTCTTAAACTATTTATAGGATCATAATATAATCGAAGTGAACCATCACTCAAACCAACAAGGATTTGGTTAATTTTGGGCTGCCAACAGATCCTGATACAACTCTGAAAATTATGGATTATAGACATTCCAATAATGACTGTTTCTAGAAAATGCAGAATCCATATCGTGAAAAACCAACTAATTTCGGGTACGTGATTCGATAAACAAGATCGAAGGATTCCGAATCAAAAAAAGCGAGCGTTCCATCGGATCCATTCTCATCATCAAATGAAGTACCAGTATAGACCATTTCACCGTGAGGGGCAAAACCGCAATCCGTGCTGTAAAAATATGAAGTTTTATACAGTCGAATAATATTCATCGTAATTTCAAACAACTTGAACTAGAATAATTCATTAAAAAGCCTGCTGCGTTGTGTAAAACAGTGCAAAAGCTAATGTGAGTTAGAATCCTTCACATATAACGATAAGCTACTGAAATAAAGAATTTAAGATTACCTTATGAATTCATTTTTCAAATTCTCCACAACATGACACGGCTTATTAAATGTTTCAAGTTGCCATAATTTCAGAGTGCCATCAACTGCAATAAATTGCTCTAAGCTTAAAGAATTATAGAAAATAATGCATCCAAAAGCACAGCAAAAAAATCAAGAATATTTACGCGATCTTGAGAGGATTTCTTTACTGTTTGGCGAGAACTGCAACGAAGTAATCGGTGCGGTGTGAGCAGTTCTATTCAAATATGCGGTATTAACCTACAAATAGCAAAACAAATTTTTTTTAAGATAATAAATTATACAACTCCTTTGATAATAATTGTTAATCAACTATTATATATTATGAATCAATGTACATTGTTTCGCTTAACTTTTAAAGCTTACATAAAGATTTCCATGTTTCCATATTTGTATAGACCCATCATCACAACCGGCTGCAATATATTTTCCATCTCGAGAGTAACAACATGTTGTTGGTATAGCTCTTTTGCCAATAGCATTTTTTGTCTTGATTACTTTACGCTGCTTATTGATACAGTGTGTGATTTCTTTGTAATCATCCGTAGACCAAATCCGTAACGTTCTGAAATTTTTGAAGCATTCCAATAATTCAACTTACAAACTCATATGTGTGGCTTAAAGACATTTCGAATTTGACCAAATAATCGCAGTGATCAGAATAATTAAGATCACAAATAAATATAGTAAAAGTCTGGCCAAACCCCGTTTATTTATTTAAGACTAATAATGGTCACGATATAACTAATATCACACTAAAAAAGGACAGGCATGTAATTTATATGTTCACAATGTAATATGAATCCACCGCACTTTTTTCAGACATTCGATAACTAACTTAATTTAATTTCTTTATGTCAGTTTAAGAATGTAAAAACTGCCACTAAAATTGTTTTCAAATATGCAAGACAAAACAATTTGGATTATTTGAAGCTCTTTTTTTTAACTCTCAGTAATGGCAGCTGTGATTTAGTAACTGCTCACAAAAAGATCCATTTATTTAAATTCTGAATAACCAGAAGCATGAAGCTAATTAAATCGAAGCATTGCTCAAAGTAATGTTCGCTTTTGACAGGAAAAACTCACCCATCATTAGCGCAGGATAAGAATTCTGTTTTCGTAACTGGATGCCAACAGCAAGCGTTGACAGATCCTGTGTGTCCCTTGGTATTAGATAAATCAACCAAATACTGATCACCTATAGAATATATTCACTATAGCGACGAAACAAATAGAAAGTTTTCGAAACCAAAATTATTTCAGTTACTTGGAATTATTTTATGGCTGCTTGCTCAACCTACCACGAATAGTTTCAGCCCATTGTTTGCCCTGCCGATCTAAGATACGAATTTGCGCATGACCGCTAGCAAGTAGCAATTTTTCACCGTTCGAACTAAACGCTAGTCCGTTGATGATATGACTGAAAAAGAGATAAAACTGAAAAGAGATAAATTCATGTAATAAAATATCGAGTAAATTAAAAGATGGAGACTAAAGTAAATAAGAAAAATCAAGGCTAAAATAAACTGCAATAAATGAAAAACTTAAAACGAATGACAAAATCCACCTTTCGCAAGGCATTAGTTCACGTGAAGATCGTAAACTTAAATCCATTTTTTGAAATTCAAATAAATTCACGATGTAATCATATCCGCCACTAGCAAATTTTGTACCTTGGTGATCAAATGTCAGTGCCGACACCTGAAATTTTTTTAAGTTAAATAATCATTATCCCTGGTACACACAACCCGACGACAAACAGATTAAGAAAAAAATTAACTGGTTTCTTTCCATGACGTAGCTGTGCTTCGGAAGCAGCAGGTATTAGATCGACGACAGGAATCTGAAATAATAAAATCAACAACATATATAAGACAAAGTTGGAAAACGAATTTAAGAGCAAACAACTAAATTAGCAGAAAAAACGAAATTTCCTTAACTGTTATATATATAAAACAATTTAAGTTTGCGCACTTACTCCTTCATCCAAATCATCGAATTCATCATCATCGTTGAGCTTTTTTTCCTCGAACATTTCTTTATCTGGCACGAAGCCCTCAGGTAAAGGGACAGAAAATTCTCCGAAATCATCATCATCGTTTTCTGAATTTGAACTAGATGGTAAATGAAAACTGTTGAAGTTTAATATAACAATATAAAAGTTTAATATAATAATGGTTGTTATGTGATCTGAAAACATATTTATGAACATTCTTAAAGTTACAGATTTCCTTCACAAAGTTTTTCTTTTAATTTAAAATGGAAAGCACCTCCAACTGAAGCTTTAGCTAATTTCATTGATAATGAACAGCCAACTGATTCGTCAAAAGCCTGAAAACATTTCGTTAGAAATCAAAATGTACCATTAATACAACCAAACGGTCAAAAGCTCGATCATAAATGGATGTAATCGAATAAAAGAGAAAATAAACAATGTGATATATACTTTATAAAAAGCATAATCATAATTAAGTTAGAATAATGCTTGATAATAAACTGATGGAAAATCAAAATAAAGCACCAACAATTTATAATAGTCAGACCGAAAGAGAAGAAATAATTTTTCAAAAACGGAAGTTCCAGATTAAACAAAATGGATCACTTTGAACGTTGGAGTATTTTTTTAAGCTTCTGTTCAGTTTGCTAAACAATTACTTATCAATCAGAATGAAACATACAAAATGATTAGTTCATTATAATGACCCGCGTTACTACTGTTTTTCATTTTCAAAATATGATTTTTCAGCTTATGATATAGTAAACGTGCAAATAAATTAATAGATAGAAAGATAAAAAAAACAAACATGGTGAGCTTCTCCACTTGATTCGAATTGTCCTCCACAAGAACTTTCTCTATCGTCGGTTGTTTCTTTATCACTTTCTTCATTAGACGTTTCAGCTGTTCGCGTGAACGCGCCTTGCCTCGCTTCCATGAACATCGTCTCGAAATTGAACTGTCGAGCTTTCTTCGCAGCATTTTTTTGTTGTCGAGTTTCAATTTCTTCATTGCTTTCCGTAGTTTCTCCATTGTCTTCTGAAACAAAAACAAAGAAAAAAACATACTGCTTTAAATACTTTAACCTTTGTAGAAACAATAAGCAGTATCACAAAGAGATAACAAATAATAATAATAAAATATTGGGGCAGCTATTGAAGAGCTCTTACTATATGCATCAAAAAATTAAAGGGCTAAGCGAACTTATTGAAAAAAAAAATGCAAAACTACCTTTTTCTTCCTTTTGCTCATGCATTTGCGTGGCATTACTCATGAAGATGCACGCAATATTCCTGTAAAAATACTGAATGGATGCAGCCAAAATTTTGGATTCAATAATTAATCGAAGAATAAATACGTTTTATAAGTTAATTGGGATATGAAGCTTGGACAAGAAGTCCATATATATATATATATATATATATATATTGGGCAAGAAGTCTATATATATATGAATAATATGAGAAGGCTAAATTTCTTCTCATCAATAACAATTTTACATTTACTTTAAACTTAAACCTAGCCAAGGATCAAAACGCTTGCATTCCATATCTAAAAGTTAGCACAATTACGAAATATCTTGGTGGGATTGGGAAAAAGAGTGCAAGAAACTGTGAAGAGGAATGATTGAGAAAAGCCTGACAATTAATACTTTTGAGAAACCATAAGAGAAAGAAGAGAATTCTTAATTTTTCTTCGAAGAGCAAATGTCAAGCTGTAATTGAAATAGTACTTAGAAAGTATAAATTACGATGATGTAAATAAACTTCATTATGTTAAAATCCAAAAGTTAAGCGAAGAGTGTATGAAAAGATTATCCGTAGATTTTATATCGTAATTTACTTTTTTAATTGGAAGGTAAACTACACTAAGAAGTGATGAACAAAAATAAAGTCCTTTCCAGTTCGTAAAATCCCAAAATGAACAACAGAAAACCTCAAAACAACTTTGATTTGCCCTTCTATCGCAACTTGAGCATTAGCCCGAGCACGTTGAATACTAGGTTTTAAATATCCGTTAGTTGTATACCTGTGTTCTCTCTCTTTCTCTCTTAGTTTTTTCACTATTTCATATTGAAGTTATTGTTTTCGAAATTTACTAGTCTTTGTTCATATGTTGCTTTGTAACTCTATGTACACTTGAAATTATTGCTCTGAACACTTTACCTGTCACGCAATCACGTGTTTTTTCTTCTACGTAATCAGCACACAATATCAGTTGTAATGTCCGTATGTAAATAAATTAACCTCTTACTAAGCAAACATTTGCTATAGAATTTGTAGGCGTTTCAATGCTTTCTCAGGAAACTGATTTGGTTACATATTTATTGGCGGATAATCGTAAACTTCGACAGCTTTATTTAACTGAACAAAAAAAGGCACTAACTGAACGGAAACGACGAATTATAGCGGAGGCAAGACTTGCTGCTCTTCTTAGCAAAGAAGTTATTAAAAAGAGGGAGCGAAATTCGTATGTGTTATATTCATTTAACATTTAAGAATATTAAAATAACTGTTAAAAATATATATAAATAAATGCTTTCGTATGCGTACAGTTAAATCTTATTGAAGAAATTCTCGAAGAATTCAAAATTCAGGTAAATGGTGGCCTATTACTACTTCTTCAATAGCCGTTGATGTGGACATATCCAGATACATTTATGTTGGTATTTCTGCCTAATTTCAGCTTGTCTTGTTAAAAGCTTTTCTTATGTGAATCTTTTTTTTCAGTTCATGTCATTATAATTGTATTTAGGTCACACAGTTCACGTCAGGATCGTAATTTGTTTATTGCCAACGAAGCACACAAAGTATGCATTTTGGATATTTAAAAAATAAAAAAAAGTGAAAAAGATGTTTAAAAGCTCTTCTATAAAAATCTAACTGCTTTTCTTTCGCTACTTTGGGCAAGTTATTTCTTGAAATTTGGAATTATAAATTATGTGAGTGATTAATTTCCAGGATGCTTAAGGCAATCACTTTTTAGGATTTACTCGGAAACGGCAGGAACCCTAATTCCATTGGTTCTTCTCATGAAGATCAAATTGCTTTGTTAGGTATGAACAATATCAGAGGATATCAAAAAAACATTTCTACCTCGGAAAGTCCTGTCGAGTGTACGGCCAGTTCAATTCGTAGTATGCTTGATGTAAATATTCCTGAAAGCTGTGGTAAAGCCAATTTACCGCATGTTAGTCTTTTTAGAGTTTTTTCATTCCAAGCCTTTTTTCATTTAGTTGACCAGCAAAAACGTCTTTTGCCCTTTCAGATTTCTCATATGATTAATTTTTTCCAATTTCGGTTTGAATTTCGTAGGACTCTGAAAATTTCAAAGTATCGGAATCAATTTCAATTGGGCAGGAAAAGCACAAAAACTCAAATTAAACGGCTGAATTCAGCAATCACTAGTCATTTAAACGATTCTTTTTTACTTTTCTTGCAGACCACTTTTCCTGATAAGCAGTCCACTGATTCATTTAACGATAAAGCAAACAGTGCGCAATGCTCTTTGAAATTACCACAAAACAATTTCGAGAAGCAAGAATCAGCAAAACTGAGTAAATTTTGGTTATTTATTGACAGAAATGGAGAGACGAAATCATCGATACCTCCACCACTTAATGTAGGTTTTTTTGAAGAAACATTCGAAATTAGGACAGAGTTTATTTGACCCTTCTAAATGTCGATGATTAAAATTGATTAAAAAAGTTAAACTTACTGTGCAAAATGAGATTCAAGTTTAATGTATTAGTCAGCAAATATGTATGAATCGGACGGAATAATTTTTTTACTACTATTATTGCTTACAATTTCGCAAAATGGAAATTCTTTTAATCATATGTTTCCAGCAGATACAACAAAAACGAAAAGAAGCATTCATAAGGCGAAGTACTGAGCGTCAAATTCTTATTCGAGAAGCATCAGTATGCCGTAAAGAACTTGCAGCTGCAAAACGTAAAGTTGCAAAACAGTTACTGGCTGGGCATACGGTAAATCAAAATGCTGTCAAAGTGCTTGGTTTAATGGATCGAGATATTTGCGCATTTCCACCTCAAACAATGAAGCACGAAACTGTCAGGTGAAAGCTAATGTCATTTTTTTTTTAAAGCAAAATATGTATCCTGCTGTTATGTTTAAGTTCTTAAAATATTTTGCAGACGCGTTCGTAAAACGAGAGAATTTCAAGAGAAAAAAAAGCAACGACGCGAAGAGTATGATGCGCATATTAATCGTCTGCTAGCATATTGCTACAGTCAGGTAATCTTATGGGTAAACTTTTGCTTCAGTAATTTTTAAGCTAAAATTATTTGGAATTTTTCCAATCAAAAAAATTGTATTTATTAGGCGACTTTTACTTTTTGTTTTTTTTTCAGGTGCCTTATAAATTTTACCAGAAATACTAATATCGAAAATTGATGAAGACAAATGTAAATTAAAATTATTCCGCTATAGTGATTGATCTCTATATTCAAGTCAGCTTTTCATATAATTTAGTTCCGTTGTTATGTAATTACTTTCTGGGCAGAACAAGAATAAGGTTCTAAATTTCTTCTATTTTTATAGCATTAAGTGAAACTCGAATAAAAGTTTGTAACTTCTTTCAATTTACCGGAAACTTTTGCTCATTAGTGTTAAACTCATTGCCAATAACAATCACACTTCAGAATTTTTTGTATGTTGTATAAATTTCGATATATGATTTTATTGATTTTGTATATTTTTAATTAATTAATTTTGAATGTTGTTATATTTGAGTGAAAAATGGGCATATTATGTTGCATAAATTTGAATTTCTGAGCAGAATTAACCTTATAAAATTTATTGGGAAGCACTTTCAAAGTAACCGTTTATAATCAGAAATAATTGATTATAAGAAGAATAGTTAACGCTATTTTGCATCTTTCTCGAAGAAGATTAGTTTTCCGAATATATTTACCTTTAATTCAGAATACGGATCAAATTACCTTTAATCCGGAACATCAATCAATAGTCTACAAGGTCTCTAAAAGAAATAGGAGGGGATGAATTTTTTTGATTATAAGAACTATGGCTTAGGCATTGATATTTGTTCTATATGGGAAATTGAAGTCCGAGCGTTAGGCTGAAAACAATACCAGTATACCAGTTTCGCTTATTTAACTAATCGATTTCTCCCGATCCAATCTACAAATTTTCCGTGTGCAACAAACTTGTAATGCATTATTTTAATTTAAAGGTCATTAATGAAATATTCACGGCTAAAAATAGATCACCGATTCTTGAATTTTAAAAGTGTTCCGCTAATAGTTCTGCACTTTATGCCCTGCCTGGTAAAGTGTATATTTAGGCATGTGTAATATTAATACGGAGGAAAAATTGGTTGTCTTATTTTTTGATATAAGTGCAAAAGGTCTATACAAGCTTATAGGTCGATTTCATTTATTTTAGGTTGACCTGAAATAAATGGCCTAAAATGAGGATACAAGGACTCAAACCTTTACATCTTTAACAAAATTGCAATCATATAAAGGTTAGATATCTATATAAAGAAATAGGAAATTTAATGGGTGAAACAATGATTTCGGATATTTTAAATTTCCGAAGTAACAAATATTCAACTTAGTAATTCCTGAGGGAAGCCTCTGGAATCATGTTAATTTTTTTTAATTGTTCTACAATTATGATTCTTGGCTAACTCTATCATATTTAAGTGATGTGATCATTTTTCTGATATGTATAGCTGTTTATATACAACTTATTAATTTAAGTTTTACTTTAAAATTATCTGCCATCATTATTTTCATTGTTTTTCATTGAAACAACTAACTGCTTAATCTTCATTTATGATAATGGCGGAAATTTTCAAAAAAAAAAAAAGGAAATTTAATTTTTTGTAAATTTTTGAAACATTTCATCAAATTCATTTTACTCATTCCGTTATCATCATCATCAATTTTGAGTATTATTTAAAAAAGCATCCCTGAATTTGTTAGATTTTTTTTCTTTGTAACCGTATTTTTTGATGTTGCAGTATGCAGTAGTAACGATATTATGATAATAATGATCAGGTGTGCGCTTATTGATACTCTCCATATCATTACTGTTGATGATTATTTTATGATTATTGATTATATGATTGTTTTTTTTTTGATTATTTTTTATGATTATTTTTAAATGATTATTTTTATATGATTATTTTAAAATCATAGATATCGGTCTCATTCTAATTTCAAGCTAACATACGAACCCTGTGTATGTCTCACCTATTCATCCACTTAACTTCTTCAATATGGCCCGAATTTCATTCCCTATTACCACCCCTACCTCATCCTCACTTAGAGATATGGGCGGTAATTGAGGATGAGATAGAGATCGCTCCATATCTCATCCTCACTTATTACACATATCTTATCATCTATTATCGCTCCCTATCTCATCCTCAATTACCGCCCATATCTTTTTATCCTCTCTTATCGCTCCTTTTCTCATCCTTAATAACCGCCCATATTATATCCTCTGTTACCACCCTCCCCCCCCCCATCTTATCCTCAATTACCGTCTATATCTTATCCTCTATTATCGCTCCCTATCTCATTCTCGTTTACAGCCTCATATCTTAACATCTATTATCGCTTCCCATCTCATCCTCAATTACCGCCAATATCTTATCCTCTATTATCGCTCCCTATGTCATGCTCAATTACCGCCCCATATTTTTTCCTTTAATTTACCGCTCAACAATTTATTCTCATTTATTTAATATTGTTATTAATTCTATTACAATTATTTACTCTCTTGCAAGAGCATCAAAAATAGTCTTGTTTATTACAATTTCATTTAAAATAAACCACCTCTTTACCTATTTTAATATCTACTTTTATTAACGTATAAAAACTGATTACAAGCATAGATCAATCAATACATTTCCATATTACACATTCCAAGCACAAATTACGAAGTGAAAACAATTTGTAGGAAAAATTTAAAATGACCATCGGTCATTCGTTCTATTGATTAATGAATAATTAAGCAAAAAATTATTTTAAATTGTCTTTTTCTTTTTCCCAAACATAAAGTTCAAAGTTTTCGTAATTAATCATCTCTATTATTATGCTAATAATATTATATTATTTTAACAATTCAACTTATGCTTAAAATGCTAAAATTTTAGCATAATAATTAAGGTAAATTACTTCATCTTAATTTTTATGCTAAAATTTTTTTATGAATACCTCATCTATTATCTTAAACAAAATAAATAACCATTAAAATAGCTTTTTTGAATAATAGTTTTGTAATAATTTTTTTACTAATTAATAAATGATTATTAAAAGAGAAAGAGAGAGAGAAAGAGAAAAAAACATAGCTCTATTAATATTATTTATTATTTAAAATTTTTTTTAAATCTCATTTAAACTCAAAACTCTAAGATCAAATGATCAATGGTTTGTTCTCTCTTCATTCTACATACTATTTCTATATATTATGTTTGTATATATGTGTATGTGTATGTGTGTATGTGTGTGAATGTATATGTGTATGTGTGTGTAGGAATGTATGAACAAAGTATGAAATGAAAGTGATTAAAATTATGTTAGAAATAGAAAATGAGAAATGAGAAAGTGGATGACCATATTTTAATCATGATTCACTCTCTCTCTCTCTCTCTCTCTCTCTCTCTCCCTCTCTTTATCTTACTCTTTATCTCAATGAACATTCTTAAATGACGTAAAATAGTTTATGATTTTAAGAAAAAAAATTTACTGAACGAAATTTGCATTTATTCAAAACATTGTTGTTTTGGTGATTAGCGGTGATTGGTGACGGCAATTGGTGATTGCCCGATAGCTGATTGATAATAAGGATTATCATAAGGATGAGGAGATGTGAGAGAGAGAGAGGATTGATGGGACATAATAGAAGTTTTACCTTCGTCCCGATGAAGTTATTAAAAGTCGGGAGAAAAGTGTGTGTGTGTGTGTGTGTGTGTGTGTGTGTTGTATATATATATATATGTATGTATTAATATATACTGATGAAGAGGAACGGTACAAATGGAAATTGAGCCTCGTGAATTCAATCTGGCAATAAGGAACAACTATATGCAGATATGCATTTATAATATTCCGATTATTCTACATGACATAGATGGCCTGAAATTGGTTGAAATGGATTTTGGTGAAAAGGGATGATAGGCCGTTAGAGGATGCTTAACTTAGGCATCAAGGAAAAAAAAAAGAATTGAATTGCATGAGAGAGTTAGTCAATGAAGAAGCTATCTAAAATGAGGGGAGGCATCAATAGATGAATACTAAATAGGCCTAACCTCTCTTCTCCACCTTTTGGCCTTTTTCAGTTGACTAGCAGATAGCCAGTCTTTTAATTTATTTTGCCTACCATTTCTTTTAGCTCCTCTTCGTTCCATTGCAAACTTTATACACATACATACATACATGCACACATACATACATACCTACATAATACATACACGCACATACACATACACACACACACACATACAGACTTTTTAGAAAACATTTCGATGTTTGCTGGGCTTCACCGATAAATAATCTTATGCTTCTGTTTGCTAACATATCCATCCTGAACTACATCGCGGGATATATTCTTCTTTCTTTTAAGCTTTGAGTCACTTTCTTCTTCTATTCCTTCATCAGTATCCACCATTTTATTTTTTATTTCTTTATTGTTAATTTTCTCTCTCTCTCTCTCATCCTATTTCCTCCCCCGCAAGGCTTTTTATGAGAAAATATATCAGTGATCGATTAACTTATACAATATTATTTCATATTCTTATTTGTTCATTTCATTTAAATGAAATGATTAGAATTAAAATTATTGCTATGATAGAAGATTAATTGCAATTTATAGTCCTTTTTAAAAGTAATCAAGCCTATCAAAATATGCACATATTTGAACTTTGCACCTAAGCAAATTTTTTTTTTGAATTATTATGCGCACTTTGTTTGGATCATTTTTCTTTTTAACATTAGTTTTAAATTTTGTATTATTTTAATTTGATAATATTTTTCTCCTTCAATAAGCACATATAAATACAATAAGAATGAGTGAGGAATCGTTGAATATAAATACAATAAGAATGAGTGAGGGATCGTTGAATATAAATACAATAAGAATGAGTGAGGGATCGTTGAATATAAATACAATAAGAATGAAAGAGGGATCGTTGAATATAAATACAGTAAGAATGAGTGAGGGATCGTTGAATTTTTGATTAAAAAAATGAACAGATTTAAAAAAAGGATGAAAATTATCGAAGTGATATTTTCATAAAATATTTGTTTATATTTGAATACAAAAAAGTTGGTATTTTTTATTTGTTAATTATCAAACATTTTATTTATCAGTTTATTTCATTTATCAGCACTTTTATTTATCAATATTT